GCTCCCAGCCCCTTGGGTCTGGACACACCACAGAGTGTGCCACTCAGGGTTCACCTGCTGCAGCAGTGGCCTTCTCACCAAGGAGCTTGGTCTGGCTGCCTGGGATGACCTGAAGGTTGGTGTTCTCAGGAGACTGTGGCAAGTTCTGGGCTCGTGTAGCCAGGAGTGCGTTGAGATACTGCAGCCGTGTAACCTGAGGATAGGAAGCATTACCCGGCAGATGCAATGTGTGACACAAGATGCACAAGATAGGCTCAAGAGGTCACACTGTGCCAGAATAGGAAGAAGGAAGACCTTTAAGTCAGTTAAGGGCAGATAAGAACAAGCAGTGCTTTTAAGAAAATGAGTGCAGAGGCCTGGAGATGGGAGACCTCCAGGGAGCCAAGGCCCCTGTCCTGCAGGGCAAATGCAGGGCCTTGTTCTGAGCAGTCTCAGACTAGCTGGTCTAGCCCCTTGGGGACACAAAGCCTGCTAAACCAGTGCCCGTGAGCAGCCCAGGTTGTCACCTTAATGAGCTGCAGGTCGGAGAGGGCTCTCACGGTGTAGTCGGGACAATACGCAGAAGAGCGGGTGCCATCAGCTGGCTCGGGCTGCAGGTCATGGCGGATGGGCTGGAATGAGGACACTGGGGACTGATGAACTATCAAAAGGAACAATCAGTGACAGCAGAAGCTGGAGCCGGGTAGCCCACCCCTGCGCTGGTGGAGACAAGCACACAACCTCAAAGACCCACCCCACAAACCACCCTTGAGAGGGAACGTGGGTAAGAGCTTGGAAGAGGATGTGTTGTAGGGATGGCAGTGAGCAATAAAGATGAGCAATGACAGGGCGCTGCCCCTTCCCTCCGGACAGCCCAGAGGTAATAGACTGCCTTGTGGGGGGCATGGGCTCTATCAGAAGGGGAGGCTGGAACCTGGCTCTGAGAACTGCCACGACCAGGGGGTGGGGCAGCCCTCAGCTCCAGTGGGGCTGCAGCTTACCGGAGGATGGCACTGTTAGGGCAGACACTCCATAGTAGGTGAAGGCCCCATTCTCAAACTTCAGGCCCTCCTTCCCAATCTCCACCTCAACCCTGCCCTGGGAGGGCGAATGGGCAGGGAAAGAGACAGATGTGGACAGATTATCTTTCCCAAGAGAAGAGAGCACAAGGAGGAACCAACAAACCTGATTACTGCATCTCCCTGCTCCCCACCTCTTCTCACAAACCCCTCCCTAGTCTCAGAGGAAGTAGGAGGCTCCATGCCCAGAATCTCATTCACCTGCAAGATGAGAATGAAGTAATCCACTGGCTGGCTGCGCTGGTACAGGTAATGATGTGGAGCCAGGCGGTTGCTCTGGTCAAACTTCACCTCCTGGTTGACACTGGGATGCTTTAGCAGGTGCAGTAGGACCTTCTCAGAGATTCTCAGGGGGCTGAATACATCCACTTCTACCCCATGGTAGAAAAAAAGAAGTGTCCCTCAAATCCAGAGCAGCTTTATGTAGACTACTACTGTTACCCACTGGGGCTCTCCCTGGGTGATCTGCAAGCCCCTGTGCCTCCACAACCCACCACATCACAGACAGCTGGGCAGGGCACACTGTGATGTGGCTCATCACACGTGGCACCAGCTTGGCCCTGCTCTCAGCCACCAGGTAGAGAGAAGCCACCTCTCAGGTGACCTGAGATGCTGACAGGGTTGCAAAGAGAAGCATAGAAGTTCTCCTGGAGACTCTTCTCTTTACTAGGCAGAGTCAGGCTCAAACCAGGGTGGTCTCCTGACCCACCAGGGAACAAGGGCACGGGGCAAGGACCTCCTTTCCCCTCACCTCGGGAAAGGAAGCGCTGGGTGGCCAAGAGCAGCTGAGGTGAGATTTTTACTTTATATTCATCATCAGACACCTTGAACAAGGAGAATTCCTCCTTCCGCTTGAGAGGGGCAATCAGAGAAGCAGGTTTCTTCCTTACAACGCAGTCTCCTGAGGTGGAAGATGGTGTGCTTAGGCACCACAACCAGTCTAATCAATGTCTCCACTCCTAAGGGTCATGCTGCCCACTCTTTCCCAGGGCCATGGGGACATGCCATCAGAGCCCAAGGGACACACCCTCAGTACTGCTCCCTCCATGGCACGGCCATTCCTACTACACAGCAATCTTAGTACCCAGGTCAAAGCAGCAACGGCCCACATTCCAAATATGTCCGAAGAAGTGCAGAAGGGACTGTTCCTTGCCTTGGAGTTGGCTGAAGAGAATGCTGACATGATAGCAAGGCAGCTTATATAAATAACAGGCCTCCCTGGCCATTCAGAGATCTCTTGCTAGTCTCAGTGCCTGTAGCTCAGCAGCTAGGGTGCTGGCTATGTACACCAGGGCTGGAAGGTTTGAACGCCAAAACAACGACAATTACAACCAAAAAATAGCCGGGTGCTGTGGCGGGCGCCTGTAGTCCCAGCTACTTGGGAGGCTGAGGCAAGAGAATCACTTAAGCCCAAGAGTTGGAGG